AGAAATGAGGGGGTTAAGGGGCCGGAGTCTAGCAGGAGGGGAGAAATGAGGGGGTTCAGGGACCGGAGTCTAGCAGAAGGGGAGAAATGAAGGGGTTAAGGGGCCGGAGTCTAGCAGAAGGGGAGAAATGAGGGGGTTAAGGGGCCGGAGTCTAGCAGAAGGGGAGAAATGAGGGGGTTCAGGGACCGGAGTCTAGCAGAAGGGGAGAAATGAGGGGGTTCAGGGACCGGAGTCTAGCAGAAGGGGAGAAATGAGGGGGTTCAGGGACCGGAGTCTAGCAGGAGGGGAGAAATGAGGGGGTTAAGGGGCCGGAGTCTAGCAGAAGGGGAGAAATGAGGGGGTTAAGGGGCCGGAGTCTAGCAGGAGGGGAGAAATGAGGGGGTTCAGGGGCCGGAGTCTAGCAGAAGGGGAGAAATGAGGGGGTTCAGGGACCGGAGTCTAGCAGGAGGGGAGAAATGAGGGGGTTCAGGGGCCGGAGTCTAGCAGGAGGGGAGAAATGAGGGGGTTCAGGGGCCGGAGTCTAGCAGGAGGGGAGAAATGAGGGGGTTCAGGGACCGGAGTCTAGCAGAAGGGGAGAAATGAGGGGGTTAAGGGGCCGGAGTCTAGCAGGAAGGGAGAAATGAGGGGGTTCAGGGGCCGGAGTCTAGCAGGAGGGGAGAAATGAGGGGGTTCAGGGGCCGGAGTCTAGCAGGAAGGGAGAAATGAGGGGGTTCAGGGGCCGGAGTCTAGCAGGAAGGGAGAAATGAGGGGGTTCAGGGGCCGGAGTCTAGCAGGAAGGGAGAAATGAGGGGGTTCAGGGACCGGAATCTAGCAGGAGGGGAGAAATGAGGGGGTTCAGGGACCGGAGTCTAGTAGGAGGGGAGAAATGAGGGGGTTCAGGGACCGGAGTCTATTAATCTAGACCTGTTCAGAGGCTGTTATTCGGCAACAAGTCTACAGCAAATGTTTACTGACATTTCCTGCAGACTTGTTGCTGAATATCCAAATTCCCATTTCATGCAATATGCTCATAACTAATATCATGGCTTTGTAGATGGGACTTGTATTTCAATGACCAATTTGAGTAAAGAAAAATTTTCCCCTGCATTCCCTGCCAAGGGCACTTAGTGCTCACAAAGAAAGCATCATAATTAAGGCATGTTTGAGATTTGAACTCATGACCAGCAGATCCTGACAAAACTAAGGCTTGCAACTCTGCAAAGCAAATTGCAGCACCACAGGCCAATGGACCACCTGCATCAAAAGAAGATTTTGGGTCAGAAGGGGTTCTCTCAGCGCAAACTCATTCTCGTTGAGGGATTTTGGAAACATTCCTCCAAAAGGGCCACAAAGACATTCTAGTAGAGGGCTTTTGAAGATATTCCTGCAATTGTAGTTTGAAGACGTTCTTGCAATGGGATTTGGGAAAAAAACCTGCTCATTCATTTTGATGGCATCATGCAGAGGAATATTGAATATTTTTAATTCTGAATTAAATTAGAACCTTTGTGAAATAAATACGAAAGGGTTCACAAGTATCAATAGACTCTCCATAGATCACTGATACATCCAATACCATATTTCGTCAGCAGCTGGTCTGACGTGAATATAAACTTACTGGCCTGTATCACATTTACTGGCACTGCACTAACCCTATCAACGTATGTATGTTTCTCTCTGTGTGTTTGTGGATGGGGGGTAGGGTCTGGGAGTGGTGGTGGGGGGTCGGTGTGTGGGGTATGCTAGCTGACTGAGACCATGCCGCAGTTTCATGGGGATGCCCTATACAGTATAATGACTCCAATCCAAGCTGACCAGTTTTATCCTCTTAATGAGAAGCGTCAGGCAAGGTAACAACAAGTACCATCTCTTAACGTCTTTCGGCATGCTATGGCACAGGGATCGTCCCAACCTTCTCCTCTCCGGGCAGACGCTCTACCTACAAGACCAAGGAGGCGGTCTGTCTGTCATGTATCTGTCTGTAATTCTGCTGGCCGCTGCATAAAACCCTGACCACGTATTTCCAGGTTACATCAGAATGCCTGACATGTCACTGTACTGGGGCTGTAAGACAACTCGTTCTTTGTCCTTAATGGTTATGAGTCTCTTGGCACTGATAGGCTGGTTTGCGACATGAAACATTGCAGCCTTACAATCCCTGGTGTCACATTAGCTGGGGGATATTCTTGTACGAGTCTTGTAAGACCGATGCAGAAGTACTCATGGTTTTATCTATACCTGCTCAGAGGCCGACATTCGGACCCAACTCTGCAGAAAATTTCAGTAATAAATCCCAAATGGGAATAAAAGGATTCTCAATTAATGTTCATATTGTTGTAACTAATGCGATGGCTTGGTCAAGGTGACTTGTGTTTCACTGAAAACAGCTCCAATGAGGGGGAAATGGTTTGAGTTTACATTGTTGTATTTAATATGTTATAATACCTTGAAATTAAGGATCTGTCAAAAATAACAATTTTGAACCAAAAAACAGTTTTTCCCAAAGTGCTGCTGTCAAGGACACTTTGAATACCGAACACATCCCTGCTACTTACCATGACATGAAGAAAGAAAGGATAGAGAAAAGCCTGTCATCGCCTGAAATCCTACATATGACTGTAAACTGGTTCCTAATGTCATTAATCTCTTTCATACTTTTCAATATCTTGATGCTAACTCAAACGGAACTTCAAGTCATAATGACAATTAAAAAAAGCCATATCTTAAAAATACCATATTCATCATCATAAGCTTGCATGCATCTAAGTTTCAAGACAAAGGGATGAGATTCAGTTTGATTTGAATACCTATCAGTCAAGCAACCAATGGCAGTCCTGGTCAGCTCCATGTGCAGTGATGTCAGGGGACAGCTTGAAGTTTGCAACATCGCACTCAGCAATATTCCAGCTATATGACGGTGTTCAGTAATGAATCAAGATTGGACCACACAATTCAGTGATTGACATCATGATCATCGATCTATGCAATTTGGATATGATGACATGCATCAATCAAGTCAGCGAGCCTGACCACCCGATCCCGTTAGTCACTGGTTGCTGAAGACCAATTCTAACCCGGATCTTCACAGCGGGAAAGCTTCATACAATGTTGGTCTTAGATGTGTCCCCACTTTGGTGAAAACCACAAGCAGGGCAAATCTGGGATCCAAACCAAGATTATAGCTTTCTGACCCACCTATGGGACACAACTCTGCACAGCATCTTTGATGACTGGGTCACATGAGCCACCCTAGGAGAAGTATTTTAAAGGGCAAGTTAAGTGAAAAATGAAAAAAAATTATTTAATTTTTTTTGTGAATATCCCATTTCCTAGATACATTTGGTCAATTTCCGAGAAAGAAAAGTTTGTAATATTTGTAGAAAGTATTTAAATGTCTAAGTGAAAGTGAAGAAATCACACGTTCCGTAATTGATTTTCCAAAACAAACCTATTTGAGAACATGGCCTAAAAGCTACCAGCATAGTGGTGACAACCTTTTCATTGGCTGTTATCAGAAGAGGACGTAACGTGTACGCGAGACGGCTCTCCCGTCTCGCGTACAAGTGACCACCTGAGAGGGGTCACTCGTATGCGTGATGGTCTGTCAGTGAACCATGGATTTCTGCATGTTGCACATAAATGTCTCTACAAGTGTTATTTGTGAAAATAATAAAACAAAATTACGTAGAGTCATTGATAATCATACAAGTTATCGTATGACATGAAAAAAATGTCATAAGAAAAATAATAAACGGTCAAATTCGGAGAAAAATGTGAAAAAAATGAGCAAAATGTTATGGTTATGTCTGCTACATTTATCTATCTTGTGATTCTTAGTCCTTATACATTTACAGTTTCTGCCAATTTTGTTAATCCTACAAATATAACAACTTTGCATACATTGTTGAATGTGTGAGTCGACCCGTAGATAACAATTTAAGATCGGTGATTAGCGTTTCATTACTAATATCCTGTTTGGGTAATAAAAGAACAGCTGCCCTCGGCCCTATTCCACCCAATAAATGCCTGTCAGGGATTAATCCCCTGAGTAAACAACTGAAGTCATCTTCAGTGTTGTAACTGAGGTCACATAAGTTGTGGACATGGTAATCAAATGGATGGCAAAAGCAGGCAGACATGGCGTCGGCCCGATCATCATGAGAGTTGAAACAGCGCAGAGCGTCAAACACCAGGAACCCATTTTAACCTCCAGAAGGGGGGTTCCTCGCTGTGGAGGAATATTTCATTTGGGGGGTGATTTCGCCTGTCGCTTTTCACAAAAATACATCCCCAAATAAATGTTTAATCTCATGAGACTATTAATAAATACAGTTTTGCACTGTAGATACGAGGTATTGATTAACTGGAACCGATGCATACCTTATTTTCACACACACAGAAACTCAACAAATCACACAGCCTAAAGTTACACATGATTCAAAACTTGATTAGTCTAACCAAATCACAAATCTCCCATCATATTCTGAATCCATTTATCATGAACCAAAATTCTATCATGAGATCAATAGAGTCAATATCTTTTGCTCTTCGTTTTTTTCATGTTGTCAGTTAAAATACAGGTGACATTGATCAAGTGATGCATTACATGCACCTTGACACGTCAATTCTCCAATCTTGTCAGTGGGATGTCTGACATGATGTGTGAAGACACTAAAACAATGAGGTGAAATGGTCTTTAAAATCACGTTCAAGATCATAGCGACATGCATGAATGTGTGTGTGTGGCTGCTTGTACTAGTCCGGACTTATAGCGGTTTTAAAGTGTCAGCCCACTGAGATACCGTGTGCAGTTTTACATGGATACCCCACCCAGACACAGTACACTGAATCTGAGCTCACCAGTCCATGTCTTAATGACTATTGGCATGACCTGCCTGGGGATCGAACCACTGGATCCACTCTCCGAGCAGACACTCTATCCACAAGACCACAGAGGCGGTCCTGAACACACATGGCATCGACATGAATCAATTTCAGTAGAGATGGATTCCTGAAGTTACCTGGGTGGATCTTGAGTTTGCCGATGACGCCATATATCCGTCCAATACAGATGGGGTTCCACGCAGAGCAGAGGTCATGACCTAAAACATAGAATCACTCTTAATTAGTGGTGTGACAATACACCGACACATCGGAGGATCCGATTATTTACTTCTCGATACAAGTATCGATCACAATCGCTCACTTAGTAAAAAAAATTGATTGTTACTTTAAATGTTTGTTCTAATAACTGTTACCAGCTGGTTACAGCAAACAATAATTAGTAGTTAAAACATAAATATTTTCATCCACTGCCCCATACTTGACAACTATAAATCATCAGTGTGCCAGGTATTTGGCCATTCTGTCTAGGAAAAAGATGGTTGGTTGGTTGGTTTGTTGTTTTACACCGCACTCAGCAATATTCCAGCTATAAGACAGCGGTCTGTAAATAATCGAGTCTGGACCAGACAATCCAGTGATTAATACGGGTATCATGAGTATCGATCCACGCAATTGGGATCGATGACATGCATTAACCAAGTGAGCCTGACCACCCGATCCTGTTAGTCGCCTTTTATGACAAGCAGAGTCACCTTTTACGGCAAGCATGGGTTGCTGAAGACCAATTCTACCCCGGAATCTTTACAGGTCAGGAAAAAGATGGCTTATGCACCACAGATTAGAGCACATGCAGGTATCATGAATCATATCGGATCGTGAGCAAGGTATTGTGATATGTATAGGATCACAAGTTGGTGTATCATCCAGGCGATACTAGTAATGGCAAGTAGTATGTAACCTCTAAAATATTTTTGATAAGTACCCATATTTTGAAAGCAATATTTACTCAGGTGGCTTTATCAATTCCAAGCTAAAAGAATATAACATGAAGAGTGAATTTCACAAAATCTAAATCATAAAAAGTTTATTCAATTCATTCATAATATCCAGTCACTAGTTTATTGTATAATTCTTTACTGAGTATCAGATCTTGAGGTCATCATGGTCACATATTCCATGATACGAGTACCATATCATAGGTCATCATGGTCACATATTCCATGATATGAGCATCGTATCATGAGGTCATCATTGTCACATATTCCATGATATGAGTATCAGATCGTGAGGTCATCATGGTCACATATTCCATGATACGAGTATCGTATCATGAGGTCATCATTGTCACATATTCCATGATATGAGTATCAGATTGTGAGGTCATCATGGTCACATATTCCATGATACGAGTATCGTATCATGAGGTCATCATTGTCACATATTCCATGATATGAGTATCAGATCATGAGGTCATCGTGGTCACATATTCCATGATACCAGTATCAGATCGTGAGGTCATCTTGGTCACATATTCCATGATACGAGTATCATATCGTGAAGTCACCGTGGTCTCATATTCCATGATATGAGTATCTTATCGTGAGGTCATCATTGTCACATATTCCATGATATGAGTATCTTATCGTGAGGTCATCATTGTCACATATTACATGATACGAGTATCATATCGTGAGGTCATCATGGTCACATATTCCATGATACGAGTATCATATCGTGAGGTCATCTTGGTCAAATATTCCATGATACGAGTATCATATCGTGAAGTCATCGTGGTCACATATTCCATGATATGAGTATCGTATCATGAGATCATCTCGGTCACATATTCCATGATACCAGTATCAGATCATGAGGTCATCTTGGTCACATATTCCATGATATGAGTATCAGATCATGAGGTCATCTTGGTCACATATTCCATGATACGAGTATCTTTTCGTGAGGTCATCGTGGTCACATATTCCATATGAATTTTAGATCATGAGGTCATCATGGTCACATATTCCACAATACGAGTATCAGATCGTGAGGTCATGTTGGTCACATATTCCATGATACGAGTATCATATCGTGAGGTCATCTTGGTCACATATTCCATGATATGAGCATCGTATCGTGAGGTCATCTTGGTCACATATTCCGTGATATGAGTATCGTATCATGAGATCATCTCGGTCACATATTCCATGATATGAGAATCGTATTGTGACGTCATCATGGCCATGTATTGATACAAAATGACACACGTGTATATATAATGGTGACACATGAAATGATATGATATTAATTGTAAATATATAACCTGCAAGTGATTCCATGACATCACAACGCTTACCCCACCACTTTGATCAGGTCTGACAGACAGACAGACAAATGACAATGCACCATGCCATAAACTCACATGGATGTTCAGTCCTGGAAATCTAAATTAAATAATTTTGTTGGAAATGAACTAAAAACAGCACTGACCACATTTCATATTTCTGTCATGTCACGTCCAACCGTGGCAAAAGTACTGACCGAGATACTTGTAAAACAAGAAATATGCCAAATGGAAAATTTAAATGAAACAATTGTGTAACATTGCACCTTATAGACATCTTGTATTCAACAAAGTCTTCTTAATTTCAATACACACAATTAACAAACTCATGCTTACTGCAGATATAAATAAGAAAGACTTATCTGGGCTCTCTGCGACACTGATATTCGCCCTAAGGAAATATTGCCCAAATTCCCAAAATCAAATATAAGATGTTTCATTTCAGGTCATCACAACTTTTAACATGATTTGTCATAGCTTTGCCAATGTCACTTAGTTTGATGATACTAAATTAAATGCAATATAAGAATAAAATGTAAGCATAAATTAATCTGACAAAAAATCCCATTTTTTTTAAGAGAAAAATGTTTTTCCCCATTACTGTGTCTGCCATGGGCATTTAGTTGAACATCCCAGATAAATCTCTTTACCAATCTATATAAGTATTGGGTTTAGTGGCAAGCTGACCTAGAAACACTGCTAGCAATAATAGGTAATTAAGACTGTACTATACAGTGCACAGCCCTAACACTGGTCGATCAACAGCTTGATAACCACAAGCATGGCAAGTCAGCTGTTTGTTTAATGAAACAAGACAGTATCACATTCCAGTTATGAATTCCTGTTTTTAAATAAATATTTCAAAATGAAATTAGAGAGTTTGAGTCTAAACATAAAACAGAAATATTTACAGGATAATTAAGATTATCACACCTCCATGTCAGAATGATGAGACCTGATTGGTTCACACAATCTTGGTAAAATACTATGTATATGTCTGGGAGGGAAATATATTTCTGAGCGGGAGGGCAAATCCCTTATACCCCGCCCTGAAGAAGACAGGCTGCATATGGATAACAGAGCCAAAGAATAAATCGCTTATACCTCTATTCGAAGCAAAAGGTTGCACTCTTTTTCCTGAGTCAATGAAAGTTACGTGACACAGAGCAAGTTAACCACAGCTCAATTAAACATCTCTTTTCTATCAATTTTGAATTTGTTTTAATTCTCTTACAATGGTAAACAGGTCTTCAGCAATCCATTCTTGCCGTAAGAGGCGAATGATGGGATTGGGTGGTCAGGTTCACTGACTCATTTCATGCATGTCATCGTAATCCCAATTGTGTAGATCGATGCTCATGATGTCAATCACTGGAGTGTCTGGTCCAGGCTTGATTATTTACAGACTGCCCTCATATAGCTGGAATAATGCTGAGTGAAGCGTTAAACAACAAACAAACAAACAACAAACATGTCAGTGAGATAAATTCATTGCAGCAGTATCCTTCAGGGTACATGTGGTTTTAAGCGTCCCTCGTTCAGACTGAAATTTCAGACAACGTATTCTGTTAACTAGTTGTGATTATGGGCTAGCAACTGTTTGGACAAAATGAACTGGCTATTCAGAAATTTAAGTAGCCCTCAAATACCAAGTAATTGTGTTATTTCGTTTATCTTGTGGAAGCCTCAGTGGCTGAGTGGGTTAGACCCCTGACTTTGTGTGCTGGCAATTAGGTGTCTCACACTGGCGGTGTGGGTTCGAATCTCGGACGGGACTCAACCCAAAAAAGTATGAAAATCTGTACTTTACTGAGAAAGTGTTATCCAAAATTTAACATTTGTTACATTTGACCACTTTCTAAATGGCATTGTGTTTTCATGTTATCAGATGATTTTTTTTTTTAATATGTGGCCCAGAACTTTACTGTCAATGAACACAAAATGAACATGTCTTACCTTTGGATACCATTGACTTTAGTATTGGTAATAATTAGTGGTTTGATACGAGTTTCTGTCATCTTTGATGTGAGGTGAGGTCAAATGGGGCTTAATGACGTGTCAAGATTATTGCACTTATATAGCAGCCTGCATGCACGTGAGTGTGTAGCTGCATGTACTAGTCCAGACTTATGCTGACTTTATAGTGCTAACCCACTGAGATACCATGCCGCAGTTTAACATGGATGCCCCACTCAGACACAGTAGACTGACTCTGAGCCAACCAGTCCTTGTTTTATCAACTTAATGCCAAACGCCAGGCAGGGCTACAACAAGTACCATTTCTTAACGTCTTTCAATATGACTCGGTCAGGGTATTGTCATAAAGCCAGTCTCATCTTCATTAAAGATAAATAGCAATTTTGATTTGATTCTATTTGCTCTGCATGAAGATGCCAGTTTATATGAAACATTCAATAGTGATATGGGCCTCCAGTTAGTTATGAACCGTTTAGGCTTGTCCCCCTTTGGAATACAGACAATAACCCCTTGTTTCTGGGTAACAGAGTTCGACACAATTCAATGATCGCAATAAAAACTGACCAATATCTTTCCAGAAGAATTAATAAAATTCAGTGGGAAAGCCATCTGAGTCTGGGCTTTTGTTATTTTGCATATTCTTCAGAGCTTTTGCCCGTTCACCTAGAGTTTATAGATCTTCCATCTCTTTCACATCATTTTTATTTAACTGGGATAACATTTAATTGTGAAACTGTGGAGCCCAAACGTTTTGGTCACAAGTCATTTTAATATTTTTTATTTCAGCCTTTTAATATTCGTCAAACCAACTTGTGAAACCAAAGCCTTGGCAACTCTGCAATAAGATCCTTGAGTAACTGTTTGATTGGCATTCTAGGAGTTGGCAAATAATTAAACAAATGTACAACTTTATGGAAAACACCTTCTGGTTTATTG